ATTTCCCCTCCATGGGACAATAAAGGTGGTTTCTATTCTATTCTATTCTATTCTATTCTATTCTATTCTATTCTATTCTATTCTATTCTATTCTATTCTATATCAGCTTTGCTTTAAGTACTGTTCAGTTGAAGGAAGTCTCTTTACATGTCGCTGATGCAACCATTACAAGCTCAGTTGTGCATGGAATAACGATGCTTGAACGTGTTTGTAAATCCATGATTATACAAGRAGGTCAGAGCTCTAGTCACTAGCATTTTCTGCAGTTTGATCGGTTTTGATGTCTCGCACTCAAACAGAATCTTAAAATCTCCACTTTTTTCCCCCCCGCCCTCTGTTTTCTCCAGGGATGACCAAAATGTCAAAGCTGATCGAGGAGAGGCAGCAGGAGCTGACGCACCAGGAACACCGGCAGATGCTCATCAACTCCATGAACACCATCAAGGAGCTGCTGCCCGTCCTCATCTCAGGTGCGCAACTGTGACTTTGTGTGGGTTAAACGAGAGAGCCGGTCATTGAGCATCCAGTCGTCATGGTAATGCTGATAATTACAGTTATTAGGTGCTGGGGCTGGTGGTGGATCGCCCACTTGGAGCTCTGCTTTCACACAATGCTCTGCCCTGCAAAGAAACTAAACTTGTTTTTTTTTTCTTTCTTTAAAAGGTGTAACATTACTGTGAAAGTTTTAAACCACTTCTAACTACTTTAAATTTAGTTTCCAAGAAAGTTCTTAAAATCTTTTAAAGTTGTCTTAACATTTCTTCAAGTTTTTTCCAAGTCTTTCAACTAAGTCTTTTAATTTTAGACTTTGGGAAAGTGTTTTTATGTAGGAGGATTTCAAATAAAATAGTACACAGCAAAAACGGGAGTGTTAAAATTCCAGTGTTAAACTTTTCTGAGTCAATTAAACTCCCCCAGTGTTATTTTAACACTTTCTGAGTAAATTGACAGTCAGTGTTGGTGTTAATTCACAGTGTTGATTTCCCTAGCGTTGTCCCAACACTGGGCAGTGTTAAATAAGCTCCGCCCACTGTGTTGTCATATACCATCTAGTGTTGATTCTGGAAAGCCCCGCCCTCTTCCATCTCATTTCAGACAAACCAGTATTTTCACAGCAAGGAATGCTGGGTAATCTTGTAGAAACGATGTGTTTGCATGTTTGTGACTATTAAAGTTCATGAGTGTAAAAATTAGTTGTTCTAGTTAGTTGTTTTGTTCAGGTTTATCAGTTGATCAAGTTTAAGTTTGTGTTATTGGCCATAAATCGACACCATGAGTGAGAAGTACTTCCTGGTGTTTGAAGGTTGACTTTATGACACTTATCCAGAAACTCTGTGTAATGTTAATGCAACACTAAAAAAAAAATATTTTGGAACTTATTCATTAAATAAAAACACCTGTATACAAAAAAAAAAAAAAAAAAACACAATCATAAATCAAATAAAAGGAAAGGCAGCAGAAGAATAAATCTTATATTGTCTGCCCCTTTTGTCCCCTGAATAAGTTCAAACAGAAAAAGATAAATTAAAAAAAAATTGATGAAAATGAGTTGATCTTAACTCCAAAGTGTTAAACTTACACTTTCAAATTAGCTGTGTAATGACACCTCATAGTGTCTGTTTTACACCCTTCTGCACAGCAAAAGAGTAAATAATCAACGCAGTCGTGTCAAATTAACACTCACAGGAGATATATGAACCTCCAGTGTTAACCATCAATAACTCGGTGCAGTGTCGAAAAGCATGAAAATCAAAGTTGATTTGTCACCACAGTGGAGTATCTTATTAACTCTGCTTAGAATCACAATTACTCTCATCAGAGTTATTTGACTTGTAGTGTTAAGTTTTATTAACACTGTACAGTGTTAGTCACTGTTAATTTTTAACTATATTTTGACTTAATTTGTATTTTGATAATTTAACACTAGAAAGAGTTAAACTGACAGCAATTCAGATAAGGACCAAATAAACTCGGAGTGTTAAATGTAACTCTTCAAGTGTTCATGTAACACTGCAAAATCTTCATCTTRTCAGCCATAAAGATTTTCGTTGCGACAAAGAGCAGTCGAGGAGCCGGCGTTGAAGAGGCAGAGAGGAACAGGAGGTTCACTTTTGAGAAGATGAGCGCAGAAATCAACGAGATCATCAGAGTCTTACAGCTCACCACCTGGGATGAAGACGCCTGGGCCAATAAGGTAAAACCRACGCCGAACGGATGAGTTTGTTCACTTGGCGCTCCTTAAATTTGAAAGAAAACGTTCAAAAGGCGGCTCTAACTCCAACCAGAGAATCACGTTTGGGTTGTAGTGTGCGTTCACGCAAACTCTCCCTCTGACCGGTGTTTTTTTTTATTTTTTATTTTTTTATTGGGAGGAAGAAAATCACTTTACTTTTTCTGTGTCCACTTTTGCTTTTCTTTCTGAGTATAACTCCTGGTTATTCTTCTTTTCCTTCTTTTCCTTTACCTTCCTCCTCCATTCTTTTCCTCCTTGTAGAAGGTAAGCCTGTTCCTCTCCCCCCCACCCACCCCCCACCCTCGCAGTTTCCAGCATGCAAGCTTGTGTGCGTGATCGACTAGGAAATCTGTCTTTGTGCTCATATTCTGTACATCTGTCACACAGGTCTTCAGCAGTAAGTGTGTCGTGTGTTTTAGACGCGATGATTTGCTCATCACTACTGTTTAGTGTTTACACGTGCATCTGTTTGTCACCAAGCGCCCATTTGAGTAAAAATGGCTTGAAACAGATGACAGCTTGGTGCAGACGTTGAGTTTCTTGTTTTCTTGCGTCGCTCATTGTGTGATCGCGTTAGCAGCAGCAGTCAATAAAATGCTGTTTTGAGCTGTTAACAAATCATTGATGGTGAAGGTAAGATGGGTTCCACTTGTTTAAKCTGTAACCCTGCATGTTTCTCTGCACACAGCTTCTTCAGACAATGACTTGTCTTTGTGTGCGTGCGTGTGTGTGTTTACCATGGAAAACCTGCATAGTCAGCTGTGATAAGCACTCTCTCAGTGTGTGAGGMGGAAACTGCTGGCATACGATGGCTGCCGTCCTTTCAGATCATGAATTATAGAAATGAAGCTGGTTGGTGTCCAGACACATCCATAATAGATGGGCTGTATTGAACGTTTCCACTTAGGCGGTTCATTCTCCTTTTAGATGACAAAAAGATTTGCGCTTTTTTTTCTTCTCCAGTTGGTACAAAGCAGTCAAAGTGGCTGAGCACTAATAAAAGTCTCATTGTCCCTTTTTAGATATTCAGTACCTATTCCTTATTTTTTTTACAAGTTTTTCTTTAAAAAAAATTCAGAATCAGAATTAGTTTTATTGCCATTGTCAATGAACAGGATTCACAAACTAGGAATTTGCTTTGGTGTAAAGGTGCAATAGGTATCAAATACAACAAATGAAGGYAAAAAAAGGAAAAATAAAAGAAAAATACAATAAAATATAATATAAAACGTTACAACGAAAATGAAACAAAAATGTTCCTTTCACAACATGAACATCCATTCTTCACAATAAATTTTACAAATGAAGATATCGGTGTATTTTGATATTCTTTTACATTATTACAGCACAAAAGTCCCACATGCAAAATGRAAACCTCTCCAGAATGTTTAAAAAAAGGTAAAGGTGTTTTGTCTGCAAACACTTTAAACTAAGATTCTGTGTGATTTGTTGGAGAACATGACGGGGGTGGTGCTCAACTACTACCGTACCAGATTTTTGCTTAATATCCGTAAAATTGGTTGAGTTAAATATATCTTGAATTGGAGTGACTAAAATAAACTTTTAGTTATAAGTTGTGCATCTACTAATTACTTTATGAGAGCTTCATTCAAATTTGACCAAAAATGTGTGTGAGTCCGTGTGTGTGTGTGAAGCAGGGCTACTCAATTAAATTTGCTCCGGGGGCCACAGTTACTGCAGGCCAACAGCCGAGGGGCCGAACATCCAGCAAATAAAGTCCTGATGTAAATAAACCAAGTATTACAAAGATCTGTTACCTTTGAAATCATTTATTTTATTGCATTTAACCATGAATACAACATACAGAACCCTATAATAAAAGTAGGGATAATAAAACAATATCAAAAACAAAAATAATACATTATGCCTCATGTTTAACACAAGTATTATTTTGACATCTCTGACTTTCCAAATTTTAAAACCAATTGTATTTTAACTTTCATCATTTTATATTCAACTGCTTGTAGTTTTAACTCTTTTGGATGTTCATAGAAATGGTTCTTAACAGCTTCTAGCCAAGATTCTGACGTTTCTGTAGATACCAAACATGTCTATGTTTAACTAAAAGAAGCTAAAGTAATTAAAGTAGAAAATCAGGGGTTTGGGCTTAAGAGATGAATGAACCATTGGGTGGGCCGAACTTTGGTATCTCGCGGGCCGGATGTGGCCCACGGGCTGCCAGTTGAATAGCCCTGGTGTAAAGTAAAGTGGGGTAGAGGTGTTAAACAAATACAACAAACATGTCAAGTTAAATCTCTACAATGTAAAGATATGTCCAAGTGAACCAAGTGAAAGTGACAAAGACCAGAATTTATAATACAGACTAAGATTTGCAAATCAGTGCAATTTGTTATTGTAATTTTACAGAGTGACCGGAAAGAAAAAGGTTTTATACTTAAAAGTTGTATAAAAACTAGAATTAAAACTTGTATGAGTTTTAATAGTTTAATTATGAAACGGGTTAAAGAATTCTTGTTGTCCTTGAGTTCCACAAAAAAGGACCAAAACAACAAACTCGGGGTTTATTTTTACACATCCATATCTCAGTACTGCTGCATGTTGTCACTCCTGTTGGAAAAAATACCTGAGTTTACTTTGTGCTGGTTCTGAACAGAAATTAGTCATTAAAACCTGAAATCTTGGTTTATGGTTTAACTGGAGGGGGAATGTTTTGCTTTTCTGACAGAAAAAAATAATAATGTTATTTTCTTCTCTCCACATCAGGATATGGAGGCTTTGAAGAGATCTCTGGCTTTGATTGAGTCAAAGTTGGGACAAGCTAAAAGCTGGCTCAAAGACCCTCATGGACAACCAGGTAGCTCTTTGTGCCGTATCTGTCAAGCCTTCACCTTAAAGCAGCGCTTTGTGTTATTCTGCCYTCTCACACTGTGGCATGTTGTCGTCCCAAGGAGACGCCGGTGAGGTGGCCCTGCGTGTGATCCTGGACGAAGCTGGGAAGGTGGGAGAGCTGTGTGCTGGGAAGGAGAGAAAAGACATACTGGCGACCTCTAAAGCTCTGGGACAGATGACTGACCAGATTGCAGATCTACGAGTCAGGTAATGTATTTGTGCGTACTTTCAGTTTCTGRGTGCAAGTAATTTTTGCCCTCATGCTTCAGCTTGTTGTGTTTCTGGGTTTGCCAGGGGCCAGGGGCCAACACCGGGTTGTGTGCAGCGTGCAGGCCAGTGCTCGCAGGGCTTAGATTTGTTGTTTGGCAAAGTGGACAGCGCTGCCCACAGACTGGAGGCTCTAATCAATGCCAAGCAGGCCATTGCTAGAAGGCTGGATGCTGCACAGGTCAGAGAAAAAACACAAACATTTGCAGTAATCCATGAACGCCTCATTTAGTTCGCCTTATTTGCYCCTCTGTTCTTTTTTATTTAAATTCTGAGTCTTGAAGCTTATCATAAGATGCTTTTATTTTAGGTGTGGCTGGCAGATCCTAATGGTGGTCCTGAAGGAGAGGAGAACATCCGAGCACTTCTAGCAGAGGCCAAACGCATRGCTGATCTTTGTGAAGATCCCAAAGAGCGAGACGACATCCTGCGCTCCATAAATGAGATAGCAGGGCTCACGGCCCGGCTTGTGGAGCTACGCAAACAGTATGCTTTTTTTTTCTTTCTGTAATGCACATATCTTTATTTCTTCTTTAGATTGCTTTTTTTATGTACAGTGCCCTGAGACAACGTATGTTGTGACTTGGCCCTATATAAATAAACTGAATTGAATTGAATTGAATATCAACAGCAATGCATTGCAAATACTTAATTCTTAGGTCCTTTTTTCCCCCAGACTTCGACTTCATCCGCGAGTCACCAATAAGTGGCTTTTTTTACCTAGCTGGAAATTATGTTGTTGCCCGTCACCATTGGGCATCACTTCTACAATAAGGTTTAAATATGGTGGTGGGGTTGGGATGTTTGCAGGGCTGGTGTTAGATGAAGGAATAAATGTGGGAAGGGTTTACAGAGGCTACACTACACTTTTTGTTTTCATAAGGTATAATAATGGTATTTTCCTTGTAAGGTGCATTCTAACAGGGGTGCAAAATTATGTTAACCAGGTGGTGGGTTTAAAGGCCATATTTTTGCACTAACTTCTCTTCCACGCAGCCTTCACTGCTTTCTCCATTGCTGTCTCAGGGGTAAAGGTGACAGCCCAGAGGCCCGTGCATTGGCAAAGCAGATCGGAGCGGCGCTTCTGACGCTGCAGTCCAAAACCAGTCGTGCTGTGGCCAACATGAGACCAGCAAAACCCGCTGTCACTTTGGAGGGGAAGATGGAGCAGGCCCTGCGCTGGGTAAACAACCCAGGGGTGGACGACAGAGGTGTAGGTAAGCAGAGAAAGGAAGGACTGTGTGAATGACTTGCTGTCAAAACTTGGCATTTAACCACAATCAAGTAACTGTTACTTTCAGTTGTTATGAAAATTCTGTATATGTCAAAAATGAATTTGATTTTGCATCATAGCCTATCTAAACCCCTTGAAACTGGCCACCTGTCTCTTTAAGAACCTCCTACCACTTACAGCATCACTCCTACTTCAGCATGTGTTCACAACAATGCTTCGGGGTAAGGGTGCTCTGTGGGGTGGGAGCTCAGATGCAGGTGGAGCTTTGTGTAAYTAGGCGGTGCTTTGCACCACCAAGCAGCTCCAAATGTCTACAGGATTTCTCAAACACGCATGAATGAGTCAAAGCAAAACTCTAGATATGTTTTTGATTTGTGAATGGCATAACATGATACAAAGCTCAAAAAAGTTGATTTTGCATAACAACTCCCCTTTAATGGGCTTTTATAAATATGAGACAGAAATACCAAGAGTTAAATAAAATATCAAAATAAATGTCACTAACACATTTTTATTATGTAGCTCATTTTCTAAGTGTAAAACTCTAGTTTAAAAAAAATTCCAGTAACATTTTTTTGTTGTTTAGTTCACTGTTCTTATATTTTGGTAATTTTTACTAAATCTAAATATAAAAGTTAAATGTACATGTGGCTAAATTTTCAAGTCTATATTTAAGTATTTCAGAATTGAATGCAGTTTTTGCTGGTGGTGCACAACTTTTGTTATGACATCATCATCCTGTGACAAAAAGGTTAATATTGTTAATCCTGTTAACACTCACTATACATCAAACTTGCAGTTGTTGCTCGTGTCCGATCTATATTTATCAATATTGTGTTCATTAAACACATTTTTGATTTACACTTTAAATACCATCTACAACAGAGTTAAGCTGGAAACATACTCGCTCCGAAATGCCGAAGTRGGCACGGGTTGTCGCAGTTTAATGACGAAAATTACGTCACRGGGCTTCGCAATGTCGTGTCGACAGCCCCTTTTGGCACAAMCCCCCGGCAGAACTTTTTGACTCCCCTCTCGTGTCGATGGTYATGTGTAATTGGTCTGAACTGAAAGRGCTCGGARGSACACAYCAGAAGAAAAAAACAAAAACTCGCTTCTGACTAGAGCAGACMGTTTTGAGCAYTTTTAAAGATAGACAAACTGYGAAAAACTCYTGRGTMTMTG